AAGCAGGTGTGGTACACGGCGTCGTCGGCGTCCCCCTTGGCCCGCCGCGCGCTCCCGCGGGGACCCCCAGGCGCAGCGAGGAGGGGCCCAAAGGGCAGCGAGCCAGGGAGCAGGCCAGCGCCGTAGAGGCAGGAGCGCACGGACTCCAGTGTGTCATAGATGCTTGGGTCCTTCACCACCAGGCCTGTGGGGACAGAAGTCCAGGGAGCTTCCTGAATCCCGGGGCCAGAGAGCCCTAGGCTGGGGGTCAGAGGGCATGAGCAGGATACTCGGTTCTTTCCTGTTGGCCACCTACGTGGGCCCTGAGCCCAGCCTTTCTGGCTCTAAACCTGGAGTTAATAAACTCAAGAGTGCCACTTAGGACAGAAAGGAGTAACACACACAGCCTCCTTCTTTTTTGGAGACAGGGTCTCTCCATTTAGCACTAGCTGTCCTGGGACTCAGTAATGTAGACCAGGCTGGCCTGGAACTCGCAGAGACCACCCCCTCCATTCCTCCATCCCCTCGACCCCCTGCCTCCAAGTGTTGGCAGTGCTCAGTCCTAACCTCCAGAGAGCCACTGAACCACTGTGAGAACAAAACTGTGTATCGGCTTAGGGCAATGTCGTGTCCAAAGCAGGAGCTCGGGACTCTTCACGGTGGAGCGCAGCAGCCTGCTAGTTCTAAGAGGGGAGTACTGATGGGGATGTCTGTGGGGACATCCGGCCTACTCACCATGCACTAGCCGCTGCTCCTGAACCATCAGCGATCGGTATTCTCCCCACTTCTCATACAGGGTTTGCTGTAAGACACGAGCGGCCGGCTGTCAGGACGAGCAGGACACCAGCAGGATATGGGGACGCATGGGTCAGGGGAAAAGGCACAGAAGCCTGAGGGCTAAGGGAGGTTGAGAAAGATGAAGGAGTCCTTGAAGGAGCAGGCCTGGAGGCCAGGGAATGGGAAGCGTAGGGGAGAACCTGGGCTTGCTTGGTCCCCACCTTAAGGTACTGCAGACGCGCCTCTAGTTCTGCCTTCCGAATGGATGTCCCATACAGAGTTTCCAGTCTGAAGGATCGAGGGGACAAACGCTGAGCAAGCCTGAAGGCTGAGGGGACGCCACAGGCTGAGCTCAGGAGCTCTTAGGCACTGCACCTAGACATAGGTACCTGAGAACGTTGCCGGATGCCTTGATGATATCAACAATCTCTCGGTGCCGGATGCCTTCCACATTGAGACCGTTGACGCTGGCGATGGTGTCCCCTGCCAGGAAGAGAAGGAGTCAGCACCCATTTCCCAGGGCATGAAGGAAGGGCTCCAGCCAGAAAGGGCAGAATGGTAACCTGGAGAACTGCTCCTGAATTCCCTTCCACAGTGCTGGGGAGACCTGGACATCTCTTTTACCCCACTCAAAATACACAGAACCTAGCTGGGCTTGGTGGCGCACGCCTTTAATCCCAGCACTCGGGAGGCAGAGGCTTGGGGATCTCTGTGAGTTCGAGGCCAGCCTGGTCAACAGAGTGAGTTCCAGGACAGGCGCAAAGCTACACAGAGAAACCCTGTCTCAAAAAACAAACAAACAACATCAAACACAAAACCATAGGCATGTCTCCCTGCACAGAGACCACCAACTTGTCTGGACAGAGCAATCTAGGCAAGGTGTGGGGGTTGGGGAAGAGAAGAACTAAGTTATCAGGCGCACCCTCAGGAAGCTCTGTCCCCCAACACGGAACCCTCCCAGATTCCCATGCTCCCCCTGGAGTTAGCTACTTCTGTTTAACCCACATCTGTCATAAGACTCATTCAACACAGGGAAGGCACAGGGTTAGTGCCCAGCTGGGAGCTGGCACCGGCTCCATGCATTCGAAGCTTCAGCTTTTGGAGGTCAGGCCCTGGCCCTGGCAGGGCATGCTGGAGACTCTAAGGGCTTGTTTGGGATCCTGGCTTTGGCTACATCAAGGACAACCGGGAACTACCCAGTAAAGTGTTGCTGGTATGTGGGCAAGAAAGTAAGGGCTTTGGCAACTGTGCTGACCGAATGGGTGTGGACTCATGTAGTCTCAGGCCGCCCCTGACTGGTACCCTAATTTCAGGGTCTCCAGCTGGAGCGTCATTTCCTCGATCAAGGACATAGCACGGGTGCCCCAGCTGGAGCAGGGAAGACAGGTCTCGTGGACCCTTTTGAGGCAGACCTGGAAGAGTCTCTCTACCAGATTCTGCCCAGCTGGACTGCCCAGCTGCCGGGAGGCAGAAGAGCTGCACAGCAGTAGCGTCTCCTTCTCCGGGACCCGCTCCGTGCTCAGGGAACCACCTCCCCACACTGTGGTCTGTCTCGTTTTGCAAAAGAACTACACAGGGTCCCACACTAAATGGCCAGTGTGCCCGAATCCAGAGTCCAGATTCTGTTCATTCTTCTGGCTTTCTCCAAGTTGGAGAATGAAGGAAGAAAAAAAAATGTATGCCTCTGCTTAGGAGTAAAGTTATATATACCCTGTCCCAGAGCCCTGTATTCTGGGTTCAGGGTCTACCTGGTGTGAGCCCAGCCAGCTGGGCAGGGCTGGACTCGTGAACTCGGCAGACGAAGGTCACCATCTCTACGCGCTGCTCCTCCCGGTGGTGAAGGCCATAAGTCTGGGAAGAAGCAAGGGGACACTCGAAACAGATGCACGTAGCTCGGCCCACCCTCCGGACTGGCCTCCTGACCCCTCGCCCCTCCGTGCCCAGCTTTTCCTACCTGGATTTCAAAGCCGAAGGTCTGGTTGTCCGTCTTCTCCAAAGTCAGCACCTTCCTGCAGAAGACACCAGGGTCGAGATTACGAGAAGTCAGGAAAGTATGGAAGAGCTGGCTGTGGTGGTCCATATCTGTAACCCTGGCACTTGAGAGACTGAGGCAAGAGGATGTCCCATTTGAGTATGAGCTACATAGTGAGGCCCTGTCTAAAAATGCAGTAACAAAAACAGGAGTGTGGCAGCCCCACGGCTTAGCTCTCAAGGATGTAGAAGTCTGATCTAGAACATTCCAGAAGGACCCAGAGTCTCCAGCGACAGCTCATTCTTCACAGATTTTTGGAATGCCCTTCCCAAACCCAAATGAAATTGGCCTCAGGGAACTGCACAGAATTAAAACAGCCTCCTCTAAGGGGAGGGAGGCATCAGGAAAGGCCGGCCCTGAGAAAGACGAGCCTAGCAGCGCCCTAGCCCTCGGGTGAGCCTGGCCATAGACCCACTCACTCACTGAGGCCCCCAATTTGGCCCCAGGGTTGGAGCATCCTGGCTCCTCTGCTTTGGGGAGAAGACAGCCCCACCCCCAGGGGCCAGTCACGAGGCTGGGCGCAGACCACAGCCGCTCCTCCCAGCTGTGGTGTGGCCAGCCCACCAGATGTGAAGGCTGGGGGAGGGGAGCCTGGGGCCACCCCTTCCCGAACTGAAGGCTGCCTGCAGGACACAATGGTCTGGAACCGCTCCAGATCCTAGCCTGCTGGGGGAGCCCAGAGTTTCCTCTGCCCACCCCCTCCCTTCCTTCCCGCCAGCCAGAGGCAGAATAAAGTGGCTCCTAAGGCCCCTTTGAGTCTGGCAGCCTCAAAAAGGCCCTGGAGAGCAGGCCTCCATGCAGCTCCTAGCCTGAGTCACACCCCCTGCCACCTAATTCTGTGTGGCACACTCCCCTTCTTTGAAAGGAGCTTTTAGCCCCGTGCGTTCTGGGGCAGGAGCAGGGGCCTGGAAGCCCTGTGTCTGCCCCAGTGCTTTCTAGGTTACTGGAAGGGTCTGCAAACTTTTACTGCACAGAGCCAGATGGTAAATATTTCAGGTTTTGTGGGCCCCATATGGCCTCTGTCATGTATTATTCTTTGTTTTTACAACCCTTTAAAATATTAAAATAAACCGGGCATGGTGGTGTACGCCTTTAATCCCAGCACCTGGGAGGTGGAGGCAGGGGCACCTCTGTGAATTCAAAGACAGCCTGGTCTACGTAATGAGTTCCAGGATAGTTCCAGGCAGGGGTCTATAGAGAGACTCTGTCTCAAAAGAACAAGAAAAACAAAGCAAAAAAAAAAAAAAAAAATTAGAGTAAGTTTGTAAGTGTGTGCATATGTATTTTCTTAGTTGAAGAGTCAAACAAGCCAATCTGGCCAGCAGGCCACCGTTTGCTGGCCCATTTCAAAGGAAGCCAGGCCCAAATCAGGCATGAGATGTGGGCAAAAGGGAACCTGAGCTCCAGGTCTAGGGTGAGCACCTAGTCCTGTCCACATCTCAGATCCAAGTGCAGCTACGGGGTAAGACCACGTGATCGGACCCACACAGGACTAAAGGTTTGAAGTGTCAGACTCAGTTATAGAGTGTCTGGGTCCACTGAGGTGGGCTGGGTTGGGCTTAGGGAAGCCATAGAGGACATGAGGACACTCCCATGGTGCCTCCTACTTCCCACCCTCCACCTCTCACTAATCCAGCTCTTCCCAGGAGGAGACAACTGACAGAGATTGGGGGTGGTTAAGGAGCACCTAATGACTCAAAAGTGCCCCCCCTTATTCTGCCGCCCCTTCATACAGCCCACACCCCCACCTGCCCCTCAATCCCAGCAGGGGAGTCATGCTCAAGGATGGGAGATGCCTCCCAGGGGGCTGGGCTGAGATGCTGTGTGGTGCCCCCCTCCCCCAGCACCTCACTTTTCTGGACCACAGCAGGGGCTTTGGGTGGGGGTGACTCACCGCTGCTGTTCAGGACTCTGGCTGAAATTCTTCCAACGGAATCCTGAGCCCTTGGTGGGAAAACGACCAGAAGACAATGAGAAGGAGGGCTATCCTTGAACAGGTGCTGAGAAACTCTCTCTAGGGGGACTCTGACCTGAGCCCCAGCTCTGGACGCAGTACCCCACTTCCTGCTGCCCGTCTTCCCTACCAGCTCCACCTCTGCTTTGCTGGTGTGACTATGTGCCAAGTGCAGCCACTACCATCACTCCCAGAGTTCACGCCACCCCTGGGATCTCTAGGGCACATCTGTCCTTGGTTCTGGACAGGCGAACTCTCTTTTTTTTTTTTTTTAAATAATTCATTTATTTTTATTTAGTGTGCATTGGTGTTTTGCCTGCATGCATGTCTGTGTGAGGGTGTCAGATCTTGGAGTTGTAGACAGTTGTGACCTGCTCTGTGGGTGCTGGGAATTGAACCCGGGGTCCTCTGGAAGAGCAGTCAGTGCTCTTCACTGCTGAGCCGTGTCTCCAGCCCCTAGACAGGTGAACTCTTAGCCTCTACTGGTTAGCTTGGGGAAGGCTGTGACTCCAGAATGATCCTCACCACTGGGATCGTGTCTGACAGCCCAGGCCTTCCAGGCTCCAAAAGCTGAGGCAGGAGCTCTCCCCTATTTGAAGAGAAAGAAGGGTAGGAAGCCACTGGGCTTAAGGTACTAACTCCAGGGTCCCTGCCAGCTGGGTCTGCCCATTAGTTCAGGCAGACAGTAGTTTGGGAGAGCAAAGAGTCAGGGGCCCGTGCAGGAGGCTGTCAACACCAGCCAGAATGTGGTAGAGGGGTCAAAGCTCCTGAGAACAGGTTGCCTGGGGGCTGGCTGTGGACTCCAGACCTGAGCCTCTTGATACTGCCGTGCATTTTTTTTTTTCTGAGACAAAGTATATAACTAAACAAACAAAAAATCCGAGTCAAACCTGTCTCACACTATAGTTGAGAAACTGGGGGCTCTTTTTTGGAGGAGAAGGCCCCTAACTCTCTAGGGCTCTAGAGAGCCTAAAACAATCTCTGTCCCTCCTAAGATTTTAGTTCTTGGAGGAAGTCCTATCCGGGACCAGCCCTTTCCCAAAGTGCCAAAACAACTTGAGGCCTTCCTGGGTTGTGTTCTGGTTAATACTCCCTAACCGCCAAGCTGCCTCAAAGCAAGGAGGAGAAGGGGACCCTCTTCCTCCACAGCCAAAGCTTAGCCTCAGGGTGGGGACAGTACCCAAATAGGCCAAGGAGGAAGGACTGGGCAGCACAGAGAGACCCCTTTGTTTTTCAACCCGATTTTCATAAAATGCAAATTCTCAACAAGCTGTTCATTGTGTGTAGTGGGGAGCCGGGGACCTAGGAGAGAAGGAGGGGGCCGCGTGGAAAGGCCACCCATCCCTTCTCCTTAACCTGGGTCTTGGGTCTCGGCATCTGAGCACTCAGGTCCTCCCAGGCCAGAGGAACAGCCTCACACTAACGGGGACACGCAGAGAGCGGGTGCGGCCGGCATCCTTCCTGCCCTGTGACCTCTCCCACCGCGTCCGGTCGTGGCCGAACTCAAGAGGGCCGCGCTCTCGCAGCCCGCATCTCAGATGCGGGATCAAGCGTGAGGCCCTGAGCCCAGGAAGCCGGGCGTCCTAGCGGAGGGGGTGTTCTCGGGAATTCGCGGCACTGCTTCCACCCAGCCATTAGCTTCTCTCCCGCCCAGGGCTCCAGGACCCTCAACTTGTCTGAGGCAAGCGGCAGAATTCCTTCCTTAGCCCTTCCTGCTCCAACTTCAGGAGGTGCTTGGGCGAGGGGGTCCTGGGAGTTGTAGACTTCTGGACACCGGCAGGCTGAGCGGGAGGCGGCAGAAAGCCAGATGGAGCGAGCCGGGGAAAGGGGGTGCTGGGGCGGAGTCAAGGCCGGAGAGTGGGAGGAGGTGGGGCGTCTGCGCGTGGGGAGCGGAGTGGAGTGGAGAGCCAGCCGAACCGGGGGCGTCGTGGCGGCGGGGGCCACAGCTTTCCGAGCTGGGAGTGGGTAGGTTTGCGCCTTTTGGGGAGACAGGGCCCAGCCAGGCTGGTGGCCCAGGGTCGGGGGGGTTAGGGTGGGGTGGGGTGTGCTGAAATGTGGCAGTCATCAGGGCGCTGCTGCGGCGGAGTAGGTCCTGCCGAAGGAGGGACCCAGGGTACCGAGCCTGGGGACGCAGGTTAGGGAACGCACCTTTCGGCGGGGCAGCGTGCCCCCGGACACCGCGAGCGCACGGTACAGCTCCGCCGGGTGGTAGTCCTCCAGCGCCGCGTACAGCTCGTCTCCCGGGTTGGCTCCCGGCGGAGCGGCGGCAGCTGGGGGGCCCGCGGGGGCCGGGGCCGGCGCGGCACGAGCCGCTTCCGAGTCGGGAGCCCGGCCAGCGGGGTCCGGCGCGGCCGCCGCCTCCTCCTTCTGCTGCAGCTTCCTGAGTCGGCGGAGGGTCATGGCTCCGGCGCCCGGCGCCCCTCGGGGGGCTGCGCGCGCTCCGATCGGCGGGGCTGGCGTCGGCTGGGGGAGTCCAGCCGAGCGGGCCGCGTGTAGCCCGGCTTTATAGACTCCCGAGAGGCGTGGGGGAGCGGCCTCCGGTGGCCTCGCCCCCCGACACGCTGGCACCACCCCCTCGCCCCCCCCCCGGGAAGGGGGGGACCCCGCGATGGTGAGCCCCGCCCACAGCGCGCCGCGGACCGCCGGGCTCGGGAAACTCTTGGGGGGACTCGGGCGCCCCGTGGGGGAAACCTAGGCGCCCACGGCAGCGGGAGGGACGGGACATCTAGGGCGAGCGGGGGTTTGCGCGCTACCTGGAAGCAGTCTGTGAGAGCGCGTTGGTGGAGAGCTGAAGTTTGGGAACGAACGAACGAGGGCCATAGTGGTTCGTGGAGATGGGGGGCGCAGTGAGGAGTCGTGGCAAATGAGCTGAGGGAAGCTTTGAGATCCGGGGAAGGTGGGGGGGGGGGGGTCAGACGCGGTGGGGAGAGTCTGCAGGAGGCCCTGGACCGGGGGTGGGGGGCGAGCATGCAGGGAGTGGGGAGGGTTGTGGTTTCTGAGGAAGGAACAGGGAGAAGTCTCTGAACAGACCCCGCAGAAGCCCCTGGGGACTGAGGGGCTGAGGGTTTCACCGTCCACCTGCATCCTAGAAGAGCTAACTAAGGCTACCTTCCTTTCCCAAAGCCAGGGGAAAGAAGGTAGACTGTGGAAACCTGCAAGTAGAAGATTTAATTTGGAGTCGTCCCCCCCCCTACCCCCACCCCATGCTGGAGTTCAGCCTCCCTTTCCCCACGTGGGGCTTGGAATACGCCCAGAGAAGGTGCTCAGTGTTGGGGCATGGCGGTGCTGAGCCATTCCCTCATCCTGACTTAGACACCACCGTTCCTCCTCGGTACTCTGTTACCATGGCTGCCAGGCTGCAGGAGAGGCGGATGACCCAGCCCATGTCTGTCGTCAGTGATTCCCAAATGAGAAGCCAGAGAGGGAAGTGGTCAGTGTCTAGCCACCGCAGAGGGAGCTTGGGGCTCCACGTTCGGACACGCGCCGTTACATGTGTGCTTTACATACACCACAACAGCCGTGTGAAGCAGGTACCAGTGCTGTCCCTTACAGAGGAGGAAACTGAGACCCAGGCAGAAAGCACCTTGCTGGGAGGATCACTCAGAGGCAAAGCTGAGGTCCCAAACAAGGCAGCCTGGTTCTAGGGCTCCGGCCTACCTACTCTGGTGACATCAGTTCTTCAGCCTGAGTTTGAGCCCCACTCTGTACCAGGGGCTGGCTAGACACTGGTGTAATGGAGGAGCTTGGTCAGGTGGGGGGCAGCATGCTGTACATGTGCCGTGTAAGACACATACCGTGGGGGGGGGGGTGAGGGGGAAGCAAAGGCCAGAAGGCCAGGAGAGGCTGTCTCCTACCTGTTTTGGTTCACCACTCTGGCTATCTCCCTGCGTCTTGCCCACCCCCAGGCCCCTGCGCCCCCACCATACAACAGGGAGGTGGGAGGGGAGGGGTGGGCCTCCACACTCAGAAACTGCACAAGTCCAGATGGCAGGATGCTTTGTGGGGTGGGGGTGGGGGTGGCTTTAGAGCTAAGGTCTAGCTACCTTAATGCTTTTCTCCCCACCACCCCCCTTTAACCACCGAGCGGCCATTAGTTGAGGGGCCAAGGGAGTGTTAGTGGAGAACGTGACTCTGCTGGGAGCATTAACACAGATGGACCCCCTGGACCGTCTGTGGCCTGCCCCTGACAGACTGCATCTGTAGGGAGGGGGGTTATAAAGGCAGAAGGTCCAAGAGTCTCTATTATATTCATTCCAGCGCTTATCCATGAAAGGACCCTCCCCAAGAGGACCCTGCACAACCTCTTCTATGAAGGAGCCACCTCCCTGCTCCAGAGGATTACTTGTCAGTTTATGCCTAACAGCCCCGTTGACATAGACCTCCTTCGGGCAGACACAGAGGCAGATATCCCTCCCCACGCTCCCAGTTTGTGCAAGTGCGGCAGCCTCTGGCCTCCCAGTGAGAAGCCAGCACAGGGAACTGAGGTTCTCCCCTAAGAAGGAAGGTGCTGGAAAACCCAGAGCAAGTGTGAACCCAGAAAAAGGCAATTTCTATAAGTCATTGGCATGATTTCCTCAAATCCTAGGATTTCAGAGCTGGAAGGGGCCTCACGTTCTGGAAGAGATGTGTGTGGTCCAAGCCCTCCTGCCTGTAACAGCAGCCAGAGAGGAAAGACGACCGCAGAGTGGGCTGGGGAACCCAGGACTCTTGATGAAGGCTGTAGCTGGCAGCTGCAGGAGCCCGCCCCATCCCTGCCTGCTTCCCCGCCCCTCGTGTCTCCAGGGAGGGATGGGTAGTCCTAGGTGCCTCCCTGTGGGATGGTGACGCCCTCTGCTGGTCATGAGCCTTGTGGTGGAAAATCTCTGGACTCAAAGGTGGCCTGGTGACTGCACCCCCGGGACACCCAGCGGTGTTTTCGGATCCCACGCGGCCTTTGTTCCTCTCAGGAGGATCTGTGCTTGGCTGGTCACTGAGGTCACAGCGAGGGACTTGTGAGGAGGGAGATGATGCAGGTGAATTGCACTGGAGACTGGCAGTTGCTGGGTTTTCTGGGGACAGTAACCTCCCTTCACAGCACAGCTCCAGAGCTCAGCCTTCTGCTGCTCTCCCCGACCTCCTCAGAAGCCACACCCCTTGTCTAGCATCTGTTCTTTCTCCAATCTGCTGCAGCCTTCAGCAGGCCTTCTGGCACTCCAGAATGTCCCTTACCCCCTCGTGCCTCCCAGCAAATCCCCTGTGGATCTGCTCCTGGGAAATCTATACTCTGTCTGCAACTTCTGCAGAAGCAGGTGTCTTGTTCCCAGGGAGTTCAGGTTTCCCAGATCTTTGGCTCCAGCTGCCCTGACTGAGATAGATGGGCTGGGTCTGAGGAGGGACCTGGATAGTGTGGGATTAGTAGGGGCTGTCTAATGGACAAAGCCCCTTCTCACTTTTTTTTTTTTTTTTTTTTTTTTTGGTTTTTTCGAGACAGGGTTTCTCTGTTTAGCTTTGCACCTTCCCTGGATCTCGCTCTGTAGACCAAGCTGGCCTCGAACTCACAAAGATCCGCCTGCCTCTGCCTCCCGAGTGCTGGAATTAAAGGCGTGCGCCACTACCGCCCGGCTCCCTTCTCACTTCTTTAGGACAAACCTTTGCCAAGTCTCTCACCAACCCACAATCACCTCCTGTGGCCTCACAGACCTGCTTAAACCCTGGGGTACCCCCAGGAAGTTGGAACACTAGGGCTGTGGAAGTTCGGACCTTCTAGAGCCTCAGTGAAGCACTTTCGCCAGGACCCAGAACTGGCAAGGATGAATAGCTCTGTGGATGCCGCCTCCGCGTCTGCACTGGGGGTGGGGGTGGGGGTGAGTGTCAGCAGGACAAGGCCTGGGGTTCAGCTGGCCTTGGCTGCATGACATGGCTGCTTGCAGGAGGCCTCGAACAGCCGGTGGGCAGCTGGCTGGGCAGGGAACGCTTGTTTTCTTTCTTTCTTTTTTTTTTTTTGGTTTTTCGAGACAGGGTTTCTCTGTGTAGCTTTGCGCCTTTCCTGGGACTCACTTGGTAGCCCAGGCTGGCCTCGAACTCACAGAGATCCGCCTGGCTCTGCCTCCCGAGTTTTGGGATTAAAGGCGTGCGCCACCACCGCCCGGCTCGCTTGTTTTCTTAATGGCTCCTATTGCCTAACAATGTCCATGGGCGTGTGCTGGTGCTGGGGCCCCACTAGGGAGGGTTCTAGCAGGCCCGATCCAGTACAGCTCAGCGACATGACTCCTAGGAGACAGGACAGTGTGTGTTGGATATGGGTGTCTCATGGTCTGGTCCCATCCAGAGGCCAAGGGCCATCTGCCTCTTGATTGGTCGGTTGGAGTGTCGGAAGGGTTTTCCTCGGAGCAGCAACACCTCACTCCTAAGACCTGGAGTAGCATTATCTTACCCCTCACTTCAGCACAGGTACTCATGGGGAAGGCAGGAAGTGACAGCTCTCAGGCCCGGCTCCACAGAGCTCTTGCACACCTGTGGGCAAATGCACACCTGTGGGCAAATGCACCTATTCATAGTGTAATCCCTGGCTTCCTCTCCCGGACAGCATTGTGCATCAGGCTCCCAACCCCCCAAACACACACGCCAGACCTTCAGGCCAAGGCTCTGCCGCTGACTCCTGACGGAAGCCACCTTCCCCTTCCTGCCATGGCTGCTCTGGTCATGTCTGAATCTGTGTCTCCTGCCCACCGGCTCCCCCTGCAGGTGCCGCCCGAGGTCAGTACAGACTTTCCCTACGGACGAGCAGGGCCACACCACTTCCCTGACTACAGTCCTCTGCTGTGTCTGAATGCTGGTGTCCCACAGACTCAGCCCTCGCTGTGACCAGGTCTTTAGGAGGTGGTTCGGTCAGCAGGGCTCTGTCTTCATGAATGACACCGGTGCTGGCTGGTTTTTATGTCAACTTGGCATAGGCTGGAGTTATCTGAAAGGAGGGAGCCTCGACTGAGAAATGCCAAGTGTCTCACTATGTAACCCAGGCTGGCCTTAAACTCAAGAGATCCTGCCTGTCTCCGCCTCCAAAAAAGGCTGAGATTGAGGGCGTGCCCTATCTGGCCCGGACTGATTAGCAACAGGAACAAACTAAGACACCCTTCAGTGGCATTATTCCTACATGAAGAGTG